GCAGTGTGGGGATGCAGTCAGGAAGGCCAACCGCACCTTGTCATGCATCCACAGATGCATCTCAAGCAGATTCAGGGAGGTGATCCTCCCCCTATGCGGCACTGGTCAGGCCACAGCTGGAGTACTGCGTCCAGTTCTGGGCGCCACACTTCAAGAGGGATGTGGACAACATGGAGCAGGTCCAGAGGAGGGCCACTCGCATGATCAGGGGGCAGCAGGGCAGGCCCTACGAGGAGAGGCTACAGGACCTGAACCTGTTCAGCCTCCACAAGAGAAGGCTGAGGGGGGATCTAGTGACCTGTTACAAACTAGTCAGGGGGGAACCAGCAGGCATTGGCGGAGTCCCTGTTCCCCCGAGCACTACCAGGAGTGACTAGGAGTAATGGTCACAAGCTGTCAGAGGGTAGATTTAGGCTAGATATCAGGAGGTGCTACTTCACAGTCAGGGCAGCTAGGATCTGGAACCAACTTCCAAGAGAAGTGGTGCTGGCTTCTACCCTGGGGGTCTTTAAGAGGAGGCTAGATGTACACCTTGCTGGGGTCGTTTGACCCCAGTACCCTTTCCTGCCATGGCAGGGGGTCAGACTCGATGATCTGCTCTGGCCCCTTCCGACCGTACAAACTATGAAACCATGACACCATGGAGATACTGCTAGCCATCCCCAAGACTGATTATGTCTATTCAAATTGCAATCACACTTCTGGATACCATGTTCACAAGGATTCACTAGGATTCACAAATCCCCTGTGTATAAAGCAGCCAAACTAACTGTTCTGATGAAAAAGGTGTGGCTTAGGCTTCAATTGTCAAAGACAGCTAAGTCCCTAATTCTGGGCTGTGAATCCTGGAGTTTCCAGGACTCAGATTTACTTCCCCCTTTACCAAAAGCCTAGGAGTGAAAGGGCTTGCCTGGGATGTGCAAGATACAGGTTCAAGTCTCTGATTCAGAGGGGCTCTGAACTCACATCTTCTACTCCCCAGAAGTGTATCAAGACAATCACATTTCTTCTGCGAGCCTCCCTCAATCTTCTTGTGAAAGCCATTCCATTTTGCATGGAATAATTAAGTATCCAATGGACCAGAGCAAAAGGAAGAAAAAGAATGAACCTATTGCTCAGTGGTTCATGAACTTACCCGGAAGAGCAGAGATCTTGGATTCAGTCCATAGTTCAGTAAATATGTAATTACTGGTATTTCCGCAAAAGTGGATTGGTGTCAGTGGAAAAGATTGAAATAATCCCAGTTCTCCAGAATTCTCTACAGTTTGGTAGTTTAAGCATTCTTTGGAGTGGAGGAAGATATAAATTCAGATTTCCTAAGGAAAAAAAGGATTTAAATTCAGTCTCCTACATCCCACGTGATAGCTTTAAAAAGTTACGCCTTTCAATAAAAGGAAAAAGGCTTCACTTCCTCCTCCAGTATTTGGTACAAAACCTGAATGGGTAAATTCCTCTAAGAAAACCAAGTGGATCAGGCCCCATTGGCTAATATGATAAAAGTAATGGCTTATTTGTCAATCCTGATGTCATTTAGGTATACACTCAATGCTGAGCTGCATACCACCACTGCAAACTTAATGTAGCTCTCTCTTTTTTCAACAGCAGAAGCACAGAGATCTTTAGAGACAGAAATTTAGGAATCTATTAAAGTTAGTCAGCAACTTCACGGGAGTTTGGAACATCTAAGCATGGGTTTAAAAGATTTAACCTTTGGAGTAGCCTTTGTCTTTTTATCGACCTAATTCGGGGTGCCACACTAGTATGACGACTCACTGTTGGCATGCCAAGCAGAAAGTTATGGTGCAGGGCACTGCAACGCTTAACAGTGATAATGGCCATGTTGATGAACATACTTTAAAAAGAGATTTGACATGATTCAGTGGACAGAGCAACTTTCACAAATTCATTTGTCCTCATTTTTCCTGCAAATCCTTTCATCAAGGATAATTATCCAATTTACAACCAATTCTCCAATCAAATTAAACTCAGTTATTCTGTATAAATTTAGAGTAATGTCAGATTTATACAGTTGAGTTGAAAGTAGATTTTGATCCACAGAACCTCCATTCTAATCCCAAATGTGAGTTAGCTAAGCTATTATAGTAAAAAGAATACTATAATAGCTGATCTCAAAGAAAAAAAAAGATAAAATTTTCTTGGGGCAATTTGTTGCTAGCTGGTGAAATGTGCTGCTTCAGGAAATTATAGAGCCATATACTGGACTTTGAAAGGTAGCAGATAATTTTCCCACCAAAAATAAAATTTTATTTCTCCCTGCTAAAATGTAATAATTTAATTTCATGCTTTTGGGCATCAGCTGAATCTATAGGAGGACGAAAGGAATTTTCCCCATATGAAAACTTTTATACCGTTGACAAGCTACATTATGGAATATATTTTTTTTAATTTCACAGAAGAATCAAGCAAAAGCAACTGCTGGAGGCAGGATAATGGACCTGAAGGACCACTAATGTAGCTAATTCAGTTCTGCTTAACAAATCAAAGTGTGCATTCATAATCAAGGAGATCAGTTTCCAAACATCATCAACAACATCCACCTAGGAATGTCAATCAATGGATTAGGGACCCATTTTACTGGACACTATACCCATATGCATAGAAACTCTCCTTCCTTAAGACAACCATTCCTAATAATAGGGGAAGGGGGAGGGAGGGGAGAGAAGGGAAGAAAAACTGAGGCACAGAGATGGGGGGATTTACTCCCCATCATGCAGCAGGTCAATGGCAGAGCTGGGAATAAAACCTAGTTGTCCTGACTTCCAGTCCCCAGTCCTATCCACTGGAGTACAAGGGTAAAAATAATTTATCTTCAACCCACAGAAGTGAATAAAATAAAAGTGTCAAGCAATCCAAGATACCAAAGGATTACAAAAGCACAGGAGCATGCATAGATCCTCATCATATGGAAGAAACCAGTTCTATTATTGGTTTCATTTCCATTGTTATTCCTTCCCATCCTTTACTCCCTTTTTTCATCAGCATCTGGCATCTCTCTTCCAAGGCCATTCCTAGATTCTGTTCATGGAGCAATCATCCAGGTGTGCTGTATGTAAATTCTGACCAACTTTTTTTTCCATTCCTCTTCCCATCTCTTTACAATTCATTTGATCTTCTATTTTATTCTTCTGTAGGAGACTGCTACAAAAGCCAACAAGTTTCGATAAGGGATATGATATTAGAAAGATTTGCCAGTGCAGCCATAAAAAATAGGTAATCATAAAAATATGAATAGGTTTCAGACTGGAATCATAGAAAGAAACCTCAGCAATAAAAATTAACAGTGTATCAGTTTACTGCCTTATGGTCCATTGCTTATTGAATTAGTCCAGTTGTCTCCTGGGATGGGATCATAAAGGCTTGCAGTAGAAAAATAATTTGAAAGACAGATTTGTTTATGATCTTTCACCACCAAGAGAGAGATCAAATTCAACAGTTTTAAAACCAGCCTTAAGAAAGAAGTACTGAACAGAAACAACCTGCCTTCTTGGACAGTATGTGTCTAGTGTATAGGACTATGGCAAAGGAACCCTTCACTGTAAGCAGTTTTTCAAGGTGAAAGAAAATCTTTGTCAAATCCCAGCAGTGAAAGAGAATGAGAAAGCATGATTAATAGTACTGTTGAAAGCAACAAAATAAACTATGAAAGCTAAACAATCTACCATTGTACAGATAGCAAATGAAAATGAAGAATCCATTTGATTTCTGTGTGTGGTAGCAGATGGCTATTTTTTCTTAACTGAAATTGTGCATAGAACATATGCAGATGAACTTCAGTACTAACTAAAACGACAGCGTTATAACATCAGACTACACAAATATCCACTACCTCCCTTTGCATTTACAGATACAAGTAAATCTCCTTGCTTTATTCCAGGGCTATTTGGGAATTGTTAATCCACATGGCTCAGAGATTTTATTTGGCTCCCATTTATGAGAGTGAGCAATGATGATTTTAGGTTCTTGAAGAAAACAGTATTCAATTTAAAATATGCATTTTCATTGCTTCAGTTAATCCCGCTAGCTGTTTTTTTTACAAAGGATACAACTGTCTGTGTTATAAAACAGAAAAAAACACTGGTTTACCAGAAAAAAAATTACCTCCTAAAACAATAGTTTTCCCACTTGGGTATCTTCCAAATTATTGATAATGCCAAAGCATCTATTCATTTTCTTTCATTTCATTTACCTTCTTTAACTTGAGGCTGAGCAATTAGCTGCCATCTTTGCACTTGAAGAGGACTGCCCGAGAGTCTCTCCTGAGCACATTTAATGCTATTGCTTATTGTAGTAGTGCTCATTGCAAGTTAGCTGGAGTTTTTTATCATATATGACCCGTAAATCAGCAGAGAGGGCAACGTTTTTGGCTGGTGTCCCATAAAGTAAGCCCCGGCTCTTCTCTAAGTGCCATTCCAGTCCCCTTCCCCTGCTTGTTCTTCTCTCTCCTCCCTGCGTTATCTGCACTGTTTTCCCTATTCTCTGCCAGATCTTCCATGTGCCATACAAAGCAGCTGTGTGCCCCATTTGTGGCATACATGCCATGGATTGGCCACCCTTACCTTAAATGCCCTCATCTGGTAACACTTTAAATGAAAAGTAAGTAGGTGTGTCATATGAAATAAATAATTCCATCTTCAATCAGTTAAAACCCCATGTCATGACATGAGACTGTCAGGATTTCACCAGGATACTGACATCAAATTCTGTTATTATTCTGAATAAATGCCACTTGGAGAATACTTAGGGAAATTATATCCATTTGTAAACATCTTATGAGGAAGAGTATTCCAAAGATACCCATACAGTAATTGCTAGATTGTTGCTCTGTCCTCCTGGAACTGCCACCAATATTTCTAGCAATGGGGGCAAGGGAAAGAATGATACAGATGAGAAATTGCACTTCTACAAGAGATACTCTGAAGTTGATATTCCTCTCTCTCTGTGGAATTGTGCGACTCAGACCAATTTTCATAGATAAATTCTTGCTTGAAATTTACTTTAACTCACTGAGATAAACAGGGCTTGAAAGAAGAGAAAGCTTATTCCTAGCAGTGATCTCTACCCAGGAGCAAGATTTCCTCTATTTTGAGGAAATAGATGAGGCAGATAGCACCAGTATTAGTCAGCATTCCTCCAGGGCAGAGACTGAATTTACAAATTAACACATGAGATCTGTATAAATGTGTACTGATTAGACAATACCATGTGTTCAATTATTATCTCACAAGAGGGAGATATGAAAGATCCTTGAGGGAAGTCACATAGCAAATTCTATTACACAGTTGTCTAACACCACCAGTTGACTCCTATTATCTAGGTATGACTTCAATCAATGTACAGAAGAGCAGTTCCAGACACATCAGAATGTCTCCAAATAATATAATTAGTAATTCATGGCCAGTCTGTGGTTTTCCAGGAAATCCACAACCTGCAATTCTGACCCCTTAGATGCTTAAAACAAATTATATAGCTGCAGTGCTTTTGGGTGTAGTTGGAGAGAGACAGATTACATGGAAGTAACCACTTCTTGACATTGGAATTCTTGCCAGTTACCACTACTGACTTGTACTGGATAAAAGCATTAGAGAACATTAGCATTACCTGTTAATAGTTCTTCAGTTCAAACAGGAGTCAGAGATTCATAGCACAATTTTACATTATAACTTTATGCTTCTAATTTCCTGATTCCAATAACATTAGGTTGAAGTTGCAGTAAAGTAGGTTTAGACCAGATATCAGGAAAAACTTCTTCACTGTTAGAGAAGTGAGGCAATGGAATAGGCTGCCTAAGGAAGCTGTGGACTTTCCATCCCTGGAAGTGTTCAAGAAGAGGTTAGACAGCCATTGGTCAAGGATGATCTAGGTACAGTTATGCCTATATTCTATTAGCATATTTCCCATGCTTCTGGGCTTTGCTGGTTACTGCATAGGGCCAGGAGGGAATTTCTACTATGTATGTCAGGGTTTTAAGCCTTTCTCATAGGCACTGGGCGCTGGCTGCAGCTGAGGCTGGGTGTGTTAGAGCTCCTGCTGGGACTAAACCCAGAGGTTCCTGACTGGATGGCATTTCCCCTCCACTCAGGGTCAGACCGATTGATCTAGTTGGGGTCAGGAGGGAATTTTACCCCATGGTCAGATTAGTATGGACTGGGGATGGAGGAGTAGGGAGAGGGATTGGCCTTCCTCTGTAGCAGGGATAGCCCTCTTCATAGCATCTTCCAGGCATATTTTAACAATTTTTGCAGCAGCAGAACATTAGCCTCTGTGGTCCCCCTGCAGGTTAGGATTTTGTCT